TTACTTGTATTCATATCAGTACCTATTCAGTTTGCCGGAAATTCACCGGTTCAAGAACAACTTATAAACGGCCGTTTTCCGGCCGGACCGGACCGGTTGAAAAATTCAACCGGCCGGACCGGACCGTTTTCAAAATTTCTTACCGGTTCCAGCTCTGATCGATTCTACCAACCAAATTATCTCTCAGATCACACCTAATATTCTACAAGTTTATAGAGTAATTATTGGTAACAGTTAATCTATTACGAGGGTAGGATATGATTTCTAGTGTGAATGTGAGTATACATGTATGGTTTTGGGTCTTCGCTTCACTCACACCAATCTTCATGCAGACATACACACACTACTACTCGTTTTGTTTTGGTTGGGCAGCGGTAAGGAGTGCTCTTGTTATGTCGACTATTTTTTTAGGATACAAATCATCAACATTGTAGCTAACAACTCAATCAGAATATTAGCTTCCCTCATGTCCTGGAAAGGATAGTGGAGAGTAGTGCTACTCTATTCACATTGTGTATTCTTGATGACAAGATGTACGTAGCCAAGGCATCACTGCTCAGTTAAAACAAGAGGAGCACTAGTGCTCTAGCTGCGTCGCCATTTCACATCCAAGCTCACATTTTCATTTAAGTATGTCAGTTTTTATTCAAAGATAAACTACAATAATGAAAATGCCTCGTCATTTAATCATAGGTGATTCATCAAGTTGCTAGACTAGTTTATCAATTCAGTTTCGACGATCTATTTAACTTAAAGCTATTGCATATTGTTAAGCATCATTATTGTCTTTATAGATTTGATAGAATTTAGCACATATAAAAGAACTTTGTCGAGCTAAGAAACAAAATTCAAATTCTGATAGATGAAAATCTACTATGAATACGTAACTTTGATATTGTATGTCAATATTTTTGAGTCTTAGTTTCTACAGTAATAGAAATGAGAGAATAAAAATTAGAAAAGTTTTTCTTTTTATGACAAAAACAGATAGAAATGAACAATATTTGAACCATTCAACACATATGAAAACAAAAAATAAGAAAAAAAAAACATAGATCGTTTATGTATACACAAATAAATATTTATATAATATACTGTAAGAATAAAAGACTAGACAATTGTTGAATTAATCGATTTTTTTTCTAAAATATTATCTCGAGTCATATACATTTGCTCGATTTTTTTTAAAGTGTGATCCGATAAATGACTTGGTAAATTAATCCTTTCTTGTTCAGACTCAAGTTTAAATCGAACACGTCTTGTCGTATCTATTCCATTTGTTAACGATGTAAATGATGATGAATGATGATTTTTATTTGCAGTAGCATCTTTTGGAACTAAATATGTTTGTCGATATGATGATAATAAATGATTATTTCCAGTAGAAAGTGAACGATCTGATATATCTGATGAACCACAAAATCCATCATCCGAACTTACAGGTGTATGTGAAGAATTATTTGTTGATGGCGGAGCAATAGCAACTGTATATTCGGTTGATGTTTGAGTAACTGTATGTCTTTTTGGTGAACATAATTCATTAGATATATTTGATGATGATGTAATAGGAATATGATTAAATGAATGAAATGTTGACGGATCAATATTACGTTGACTATAATGAGATTCAGGATAATTTGGTTTTGATAATATCCACGATGAATATGTCTAAAGAAATATTAAAAGTTTCTCAATTGATTTAAATTTAATAATTAATCTCATGAAGGTAACTTTCCTAACTGATACCTACCGTTTGAACTCACATTGGGTTCATAAGAAGGTCTTCCTATGACCGTTTTACTCAGTTTTCGATCTGAAATTTTGCTCATAGATAGGTCTGATGACTCTGGAAATATTCGGAAAATTTCAATTGGAAAGAATGTTCCTTTGTCAATATATTGCATTTTGAAAAAATGGTCGATTACCATAAAAATCAAGTTTACTTGAAAATTTAATATCTCGATAAATAAACATTATTTTCAGAGTCATCAAACCTATCAATCGGCAACAAGTCAGATCGAAATACTGTTGTTAAAATTTCCGATAAATATCGATAGTTGTATCAAAAACTGAAAACAACGATCATAACTCGGACCCAGAAACTCATGAACATCAACACTTTTCTCCTCATCAGAAGTATAAGTCACTAAACAATCGGTATATTTTGTTGTAAGTATTCAAGTTAAAATTTCAAGAAAAAAACAGACAGCCAGTTTGTAAAATAGAAATTTCTTTGCCTAACATACAGAGATTAAGAAATTAGAGAAAATATTTTATAGCAATGTAAAAAACAATCTATTCGACAAAATTATTTGCTGGTAAAGCGATTTATCATGTATAAAACATAAGTCTGGAGAAAATATTCATTCGTCTAGGTCAACAAATACTCGCTGCATTAGCTTTATATACATAATGAAACAAAGCGTTTATCCATCTGTCCTATTGTTTACTTCTCTTTTCAATTCGCTCCAAATATATGTTATTGTGTAGTTGATAAACGGTGATATGTTATGTCATGTTCTCATTCGAACACATTCTATCCTATATTTAAAAAATGCGAAAAGATATTGATTTGATCTTTTTTTTAATAAATTACTCTCATTTGCATTGGTAAATAAGAATCTCTTTCTGAGATGAATAAGATTGTAATGGTTCAAAAGAAGATAAACTGTAGCTGTAACTTTGAAAGATACTCTTTTTCCTACGATACTTTGTACCACTTCAGAGCTTAGCAAATGCAGGTAACTAATTTGCTGTGATATTATATATAATATAAAAAATGTCTGATCATTAAAAATCAACAAAATATCATGAATATCGATCCGAAAGATGTGAAAGTTTGTCGAAAAAATGTTTTTTAGAATTACAGTTTGTTCAAAGTGATATGTAGATGTTTTTATGATTTTGACATGACATTTCTATACACTTTTATTTTCGAAGTATGCGAAAATTAATAATAAACAAAAGTGAAACCAGCCCTTTTTAAGGTTCCCAACCAAAAGTTTTTGCGTTAGTAACGAGTTCCGCAAAAATTTTGTTATCACAGAGCTTAAAATTTATTTTTGTTACTCTCTATACGTCTAAAATATCTTGCTACTAGACTATAACCTATTTAGTTGCTAATATCATCTTTGTTACATGTTCAATTATAAATGAAAAAAATCAGTTCTTTTCATTTCGATTTCAAGCATATAGGACGATCGTCAGAAATAATTCACTACTTTTCATAATAGGTTTGAGCACATGGAGAGGACTTCGAAATTAGTAATAATTTGCCCAAAAACATTCGATCCTGTTAACATCATCTAATGAGTTTTGACAATTTTGCTAGATTTATACCATAGTACGAAGTATCGATAAAAAGATAGGAAAAAAATGGATTTTGTACCTGAAATTTTTGGCTATAAGTAGGTCTCACCATCCTTTAAATATTAGGAAAGTTTCACTGAAAACAATTGCGTTCTTGTTAAAATATTCAATGTTTAAGAAAAATGAATAGATTATCAGAACATAGGTTACAAAAAAAAAAACGAGAATCTTGGAACATTGAATATCTTAAGAAAGAATTATTCATTTGAATGAAAAGTTTTAGAAGATTCCAAGGTCATAAGATCCATTTACAGACCACATTTGAAATCAAAAGTTCTTTACTGATTTTTTTCTATAAATAATTCGTCCTATCTAGATGTACACAGTAGCTTCCAATTGGAACTACAAAAAAAAATGGTCAACAGATTCCTGCTCCCAATTTCCTATCATTTTTTTTCTGAGTTTTTCGTCAGAAAACAATATCGTTTCGACGAGAATCCATCGTCAATCCACGGATTCAGACGTCGGAATCATTGACCTGAGTATAGTAAAAAATCCAACAAAATTATCGTAACTCTCTAAAAACAAAGGTCTATGAGCCCTAATACTTTTAAGATTATTCTAATGTAGAGTTTCTCTCGTCAATCCTGACATCATTAAGTCTGAGATTAGTTTATCGATGTCGAAATAATTACCTTTTTGTTTTGTTGATCGTAAATCTCTTTTTCATGTATTGTATCTAATAAACAAGAATTATCGTTCGTAATTGGTGTTGATGCTATTAAATCTTTATTCAACATAAGTAATGATGAATCATTAAAATCAAAATAATTCGTAACATTTAGATTTGCTTTTCTATTATTATTTGATTGTTGTTGACAATTTAATGATATTGAATCTTGTTGTTTTAATAAATCTTTTTGTTTTAATGTTTTACGTTTTATTAATGAAATAAATATAAATATTATACTAAAAAGAATAATTGTTAAAATAGAAAAAAATATGAAAATAAAAAATTTATTTGGTTGATTTAATGGTAATGAATAAATCGATTTCGAACGATGATATTGTAAATAAGCTATACGATTATTTATATGTAAACCAAGATAATCATATTGTTTAATAATACTTTCAACATGTTCATAATCATTAACAACAATTAGCTTTAATAATTTTTCATCATAATAATTTTTTCCATCAACAATCTAAACATGATAATTTTTAGTTATTGAAAAAATAAATCCTATATGTGACAATGATATTTTAAAGGAACAGTTTATCAAATAATTATTATGATTTTTGTGAAATACGATCTAAAAGGCGCGTTGAAGTATATAGGCGAAATCATTCATTAGTGACTTAACTTCACAAAATGAAAACACGTATATCTCGAAATCTTAAACTTTTATATATTACATGTGCATTAGTGACATGACGGAGCATGAAAAAATGCTTTTTTTTAACCGAATGAGAAGTTTAAAACCGATGCCAAATGATACAATTTTTTTGTTTCGGAACTTGAGAGGATCTTCATTTGTGGCGTCTGATCTTGTTGAAAATTTCCTCACAGATCCGGTTTATGCCATAGAGTCTATTCTGACGTTTTTGAATGTTTTTCTCATACGTCTAGACAAATATCCACTAATCACTTTTTAATTATTAGCCAGCTGAAAGAGTCAACATTTTCATATATGTCTGTACTAAAAGAACTTGTACAGAAAAAAATAGTCCTTGTTAAAGAATTAAAGGTGGATATGTCCTGTTTCGACTAAAAATGGTTTATATAGAGTAAAAAAATGCACGTTCGTCTCCACCACAGACTATGACAGGACACCTCAACGTCACCTATCTCTCTTTGATTAACAACAACAATTACATTGTGTTTCATATTTTAATTTCACAGAGATTATGCTAACACTTTCTTTTTTCAATTTTAATTCTTACTTTAAATGCTAAATAATAAACTCCTTCATTTAAAATTGTTCCATTTGTTGAATTTAAAAAAAGTCTATTTTGATGATCAAGAAAAAATTTTTCCGAATCAAATTGAAGTATATTTTTATGTTTATTTAAATAATCATAATTTTTTAATTGATCAAAACGATAAATAAATAACAATGTATGAGTTGGTTTTTCATCATTATCTTGAATTTCTATTTGACATATATAATCATTCATATTCCAATAAACACGATCAATAATTAACGTATCATTATTATCATTTGGAAATACAAATCGTGGAATTTCATCATTTAAATCAAGAATTTTTATTTGAATTCTAACACTTGATGATATATGATAACCATCGGATGCAATTATGTAAAATATATATTCATCAGATTGTTCACGATCAAGTGAATTGTGAGCATATATTTTACCATCAGATGATGATAAATAAAAACTAGAAGATATTTCATTAGATGGATTATCGAAAATATAGGTTAACAATGGACCATCTATATCGAAAGCAGTCACTTGTCCAATATAACTATGAGGAGCATTATTTTCATAAATTGAAAATTCGTATGTTGCTTGAGGAAACTTGAAATAAAATAAAGTTTAGAAATAAATATTGATAGAAATGAAGAATTATTTGTCATGATTTATAGTAAACTACTTTCAAATATGTTCGTACGAAATAATATGCAGGAACAAACGATCTCATTTTCTAATAACTAGTATGCATATCATTTCTGAAATAAGAAATGAAAAAATTTATAAAACCATATTTGAGGTTTAAAGTCTTCATTATTGTTTTCAACGGTAAGAGTTTCATATGGATATGAATAATATATCAGTACGATAATATATGTTACTGTACTTTTTTTGGAACCCAAAAATTTCGATCGTGATATAGTCTGAGGTTTTTGTATTCTGCTTTTCATCATCAAAAACACGCAATGAATTTTAAAAACGAACCCACACAATGCGAAAAACCTCTTTCGTTTTCATTAAAGTTTTCACCTTTGTACTCCTCAGCACTACAACCGAACAGTCTAATCATTTTATAGCGAACGACTTGATCCAAATCCGAGTGTGTTAGTCTTTTTCTGTCAAAAAATATTTTAGTGGTTAAACCTTGGAGATGTAACAAAACTAGAATCATGTAAAAACTCATTTTGTTTCTCACAGAGTTCTCAACATTCTGACTTTTCTGGGTGTAAACTATCATATTTTTCACGAAGGAAACCTCGATTGGAATACAGCTAATACAGAAAAAGTTCTAGCACAATTTTTCGTAGTGAACCAAAAAGAAAAGAAAAAAATTGGTATCTAACTCAACTTTCGTTCTACTGTCAAGCATTACTTCGCACTAAAAGTGTTGAAAAATTTTATTGCACTGCTTTAGAACTATTCCGGAGAAAAGAAGACATGTTTTCAAAATTCATTGCGATTTACTTCGAGATATTCACGAAGAATAAATGAAAGATTTTTGCACTATGTTTAGTCTTATGGAATTTTTTCGAGAGTACTATTCGAATTGATACTCATCTTTGCTCATATATAGGCCTGATGATTCTGAAAATATCGTAAAAACTTCAGGCGAAAAGAATATCCCTTTCTCGATCTATTGAAATTTAAAGTAAACTCGATTTTGGAAATGCAATATATCGAAAAAGGAACACTGTTTTCCACTAAAACTTGCCGAATATTCTTAGAATTATCCAACCTATCTATAAGCAAAATTTCAGATTGAAATTCTGTTATTTGATTTTCCAATAAAACAGTCATAACTCAGCTTTCTAGACCAATACTTATCAAAAAACCCATCGTTAAAGCTCGAAGTAGTTTATACGAGATATCGAATTAAAAGTTTTTCTAGTATTTAAATATGGTTATGAAAAACTTTGATTCAAGATAATGGCGAACATATCATGATTACAATATCTCAACTTGATGTTTTTGAATATTAAAAAAACAATTATCTTTTTCTTACTTTTGGAACATTATCATTTTGATCAATAATATTAACAAAAACTGTTGCTATGGTTTTAAATTGTTGTCCATTGTTAGGATGATCCATAGCAGTAACATTAAAAGAAAAATTTTTCATTTCTTCATAATCAAATTGTAGTTTTGTTCTAATAATTCCTGTTTGACTATCGATCGAAACATATTTATTTATTTCATTATTTAATTCATATGTAACATAACTATTAGAATTTAAATCTGAATCATTAGCAAATATTTGTATTAATGTTGTATTAATCAAATTATTTTCTTGTAAATCAACATAATAAATATCTTGATCAAATTTAGGTGAATTATCATTATTATCTAATATATTGATGATTAATTTATAATAAGATGTTAATATTGGTTGTCCACTATCATTTATAATTAAATTTATGACATATTTATCTTTATATTCTCGATCAAGTTTAGTATTTGTTAATAGAACATATGTTGAATCACCATATGGACCATCAATATGAAATGGTAAAAGTTCTGATGAATTGATTTTTAAATCAAATTGTAATGGTGAATCAAGATCTGATGCTATTAAATTTGCAATGATTATATTTATTTGTTCAGCATTTGATTCATATATAGAAATTTCAATATTAAATGAATCTGTATCATTTATAACTTGAATTGTTTGTAATGGAAAATTCCATGAAAGTAACGGTGGACAATCATTCATATCATCAACATCAATAATAACATATGTATAAAATGGTATATCATGTACATCATGACCTTGTATAACTAATTTCCATGTTGCTATTGATTCATAATCTAATGGATATAATAATGATAAATAACCCGTTGATGAATTTAAAGAAAAATAATCAAAATTTTTCTTAGAATTTGTTGATGATAATAGATAATTCGATGATAAACATGATGAAAATGTTTTAATATGTAAAAAATTTCTATATATTTCATTTTCATTTAATTTAATACGATATGGATTTTTTTCAAATTGACATAATTGATTCTTATTACAATTTGTTTGATTTGAATTTATAATTATTTCATAAACAGTTGTATTTTTTGGAAATATAATTTCTAATTTTAATGTTGAATTAAATGAACATAATTGTTTTAATGATGTTCGAGTTAATAATTGACAAGAACGATTTAAATAAAAATATTTTGATTCAGTTTGTAAAAGACAACGATAAGGATATGTTGGATGAAATTGATAACGAAAATCATGTAGAATTAAATCAGATTTTGGATAATTATTTGGATTGATATGTATAGGTGGTAATGAATGTAAATAATGATTTGAATAAGTCGAAGATATAAACAATATGAAGAAGATTAAAAGAGAAATCATTGATTATTTATCTAGAATATCAATTATAATAAAGTCAATTTCGAAAGAAAAAAAAAAAAAGAATGAAAAATAATATATTCATTATAGTTCAATTCAAATACTCCATGTATTTAATAGATTATGTTTCGATGGCTCAAATATTTATCTTCTAACAAAGAAATAAATCGATTTAACAATTCCGAACATGAATCTAATTAATTAAAGAATGAATAAGATAGGTAATATTCCTTTTTTTTTTCTTTCTAGGCAATGCGATTTGTCATATTCATTCATCGATTGTTCGATTGATATTATAATCGGTACGAAGGACAGATGTGTCCCATCAAATTTCCTTTTTCCTGTCGACACGTGAATGAAAAAAAAAAAAAGAACGAGCATGCTCATGAACTTCTAACCTACTTTTATTATTACTGTGTCACTATTGAAGATGAACGATCTAAAAAAAGAAAACAAATGTTCGTAAAATCATTATCAATGATGAAGTATGGCAAACACTAATATCTGTCTCACTATTTTACTTTGAAATTTCTCTTCAAGCCCATTATAAATGAAGGAGGGGGAAAATAAATGAAATGAATGACCGATCACCACACGTTAAGGACTATTTTTTTTGTCGATGGACATCGAAAGAAATTGCGATACGATATTACAATTCAATGTATCATAAAATATATATGATGTTTTTTTTCTCTGTTCTCCTAATCGATTTTCATGGCAGTAGTTAATCTGTATAAAAGATAAAATGCAACCGCATAATATGACCATCTTAAGGAAACCTATGTGATAAAAAAAAAACTGTAAACTTAGGTTTTCATCCTAACATACTATTTTGCTATTCATAAATCTTGTACAAATTTATATAATTGATGATAAAAATAACCTTTTACACTCGATCTCATATGTCATCCGGCAAGAATCTACTACTTGTTCGAATAAAAAAAGAAATGATCGATCTAAACTTCTTTTTTATTATTCACGGTTAAAATATTAATTTATAAATCTATATATACAAGAGATAAAGAAAAAAAAGATAATTCATAATGTTTCATTACTCGTATTATATGTTGAATAATATAATACTCATATATAACTATGAAGAAATAGAATTATACATAACAGAATTCAATCTCCCAAGAGTGTTAATCGTTTGAACAAATGATGATTGAAAAAGAAAGAAAGAAAAGATCTGGTATGAGCACACGAACAATGACTGCTATTGTTCTAGTGTGATTTTATCAGAATCAATTAAGAATAGTTTATTGGCATTCACAATTGTCTATTTCAACTCTTAGATCATCTATACCTTATTAAAAAAAATTAATTCAATCTGAAATAGAAAGATTAGTAATAACTAACTATCATCGAAAAAAAAAATATCATCTTGATGATTATGAGAACATGTTTAAGTGATTTTATCTGTGCATTAATAATGTTATACATGTTGATATTCAATACTTGGCATGCGTCATACGACTGACTAACTGATATGAACAACGGTGGGTGGACATATATATATACGTACATACATACATGTTCAATGTAATCAATCGCATGATATAATCAATGCTACTATCACTAAATGCGAGAAAGAAAAAGCTTTCACTATAATTAGACAGACTACTATTCACGGCAAGCAACCGAATGGAAGTTTATTTAAATAAAGATAACATGATTAGAGTTAATAGCAAGCATTTTTGGTTTATTTTTATTAGACCTTGATACAAACAAATTTTTCGATGATACTACTCACATGATTCCAACTGTTTTAGTTGCCTGTCTGTGTGTTAATAAAAGACTTACTTTAGTTCTTCACACTTGTTTGTATTATTGTAGTAATAAAAGTAATGGTAAAATTATACCTTTTCTTTTTCTTTTCTTCTGTCCTATCAGACTGATGATCATGGCAAAAGTGGCAGATTGAACAAAGTAATCATTGAATCATATTAGTGTTATAATGTTTGTCTGATCTGGACTAGATTGTATTGCCATTTTTGTTTAATTGCGTGTCTGAGAAAAAGATCATCTGTCACATCAATAAACGATGAACATTGTTATCTCAAATATGACGATGCTGCTTGTCATTTATAAGACAAAAAAGAAAAAAAGAAAGACTGTACAGAAGGAGAAAAGTAAGAGGTCAATCCATTAGTTTAATGGTTAGTCGCAGCAAGGTTCTGATAGTCAACAATCTTGAGTGCATTGATTAAGCAACTTGTTATTTGAGAGGAAGAGAGAAAAATACGGTGAAAATGGAATAAAGATTCTCGTTTGTTTTAAATCAGAACAAAAGTACAAATATAAAAGAAGAAAAAAAAAATGTTAGAACTGACATAAACAAATACGACGAATGTCGTCATCACTATCGAACGCCCATATATACATACACATACACATTAATAATGTATTCAATAATGAAGAGAACGGATATAGACAAACTGCTATTGATAGTACCATCGTTCAATGAAGTTGTCTTTCTGCTAATGATTGTCTACAGCTGTTCAAGCCATTTTTTAAAGCAAAAAAAATGTTACTTAATTACCTCAGACAAAAATTCTCTTATAATATACATATACATCATCAATCGTGATACTCTTTTATGTGTAAGACAGACAACAAATTATTTTCTTCTCAATAGATCAAGGTAACTGTTACCCTTTTTCCATATCTGAATGTTTGTTTAACTCAAGTAGCTTACTTCATATTTGTATATACATGTGATATCACTCTCCTTTTTTTATTCTCACTCGCGTGGACGAATACTTACCATTACAACTGTGATCACTACAATGTATGTGTATTTATGTACACGACAAACCTGCGGTTATGTACATACAAAAAAAAAAGAATAGTACATGATGCAAACAAAGTTAATTAAAGAGCGAACCGGATGAAGTAAGAAAAGGGTGGAATACAATATATGTTTGTATGTGACGCAAGATGTTCAGTAAAAAAAAAAGAGAAGCAAAACTCCGCCTGTAGCACAGTGTCTTAACGGTGCGCGTACGACATCAAACCTTGAAACAAGAAGAAGAAGAAGACGAAGAAGAAGCTGTGGATGTGACGACCTAGTTCATGCATATATGATCTGTTTTTTTAAGAAGGAATTGTGTTTTTATTGAATAATTCTGCTCGTTTAACAGATCACGATAGGATCATCAATACTTGATAATATTCATAGTATATCTTTATCATTAGATCAGACGCGTCATTGTTTATTTTTTTGACTATTTCACACACCTCTTATGCAACAATGATGATCGAAAAAGACATAGAGCTGTTGTCACTTACTGTATTCCTGACAGTTATTTCAAGAAAGGTCTTATTAATTCTTATTCTATCTATCAATCAATGAAATAACCATTAATATTTAATGATAGATAAGAACAAAAAGAGAAAAAAAAAACTGGAGATCGATTTAATATCATATCATTCGATTCATTACTATTCAATGGTAGAAGAAAAAAGACTGAGATATATATATATATTGTGTTCATTTATATAATAGGCAAAGAAAGATATAAAAGAAACCTGAAGGCTAATGATAATAATGATTATTAAGCATGAAGATACAACACGGTTAGATGTAACGATAGATTACCTGGAGGACATTCTACCTGATTGAATGAATATATACTTCTTCTGAATAAAAATATGAACGCATTGTAATAGAGGTTGATGACTTAACTAATATACTACAAAATGATAGAAAATAAGGTTATAAATATTTTGTAAAAAATATTGTAATATTATCATTAAAAAAAAGAAACATATCATACTTAAGCATATGTTTCATATATAAACATTAATCGACACATCATATTTTGTCTACTATTTTATGTATAGGAGTTCTCATATGATATGATTGATTATTCGATTATTTTTAACCATGAACTTTCTGTTTATTCTTTTTCGTAATTACCTTGAATAGCATCTGTTTAATTCGATCTATTATGTGTTCTTTTCTGTTACCTTGATGCTGATTTTTATATTTGTCGTTCTATTATTATGATATTAGTCTCTTTGATTAGTTTTATCACTTTCAATACTCGTTTACATAATCTATGGTTAGTCTACCATGTTCATATTAAAACGATCAGACGAAAAAAGTAATAACCTTATCGATCATCGTTGAAAATATAGAATTAATGATCAATCATATAACGAACTAGAAAAAGACTACAATTTTCTTTGAATTATAATCGAGATTATCAAATGATTTTGTCAGCATCTATAATGAACGAACACGTAGAGAACGAAGAAAAATCGATCAAAATTACTTGATAGATATATACATTAAAAAGGATGGTTACGAATGACTATGTATAATTTGATCATCGTCTCTTTCTCCTTATAGACACGCAATCGAAACCAGTGTAGTGTATTTTTCACGGTTGTATCATATGCGTATGTAATATGCAAGTAGGCATAGAAGTTGATTCGACAATTAGAACATGTATAACTTAATATAAAAAATAGTATCACTCCGTTAAATAACAAAAATAGTTTCCACAGCAGAATTATTTTTTATTTGATTTATAATTTACTTTTTTTTCTGAATATTAATATATGTTTAAACTATGATAAACATAAAAAATAAATAAAATACTTATAATATTTATCAAACAATCGCTATTGATGATCAGTTTAATTGGCTATAGAATGTTTAAGATATGTGAACAATGTTACAGAAGAACGAGAGATTTTCTTTTGATTCAAAAAAATGAAATACTGTATTAATCATCAATGTAGATCTATTTCTATCTAACTTACAATTTCTAAATATAGCATTTGCATCTCAAGACTTTACAATAATTTTAACTGAATTAGTTGCAATCTAAATGATATGCATATTTGTTTTAGTTGTCAATATCATGTTGGTATCTTCTTTAATAGTCAAAAGTACCAACAATAGAAAAGAAAAATCAACATTGTTCCATATTAAAATAAAGAGTCGATCAAAAAAAATATTTTCGGCGGTTATATGAAGCCGTTGTGAGAACATTCAGGAATCTGATCAAAAGATATTGGTGTATGACTTAACTTGAAAGAGCAAAATTTGATGATGTAGCATGAATTGGTTTTTAGGGTTTTATTTAACGACACAATTTTGACTGAAAAATGTTTTTAATTTTTGATAATATTTTGTGAGAGATTTTCATGTACTTTAGCCATTTTATACCATGAAACAGATTTATAAGGCTATAACAACTATCTCGCATTAAAAAAAAATAGTTTTTATGGGATTTTACTTAAATTGAAACTTTTTGATTTGTTCAGTTCTGAGTTGCAAGTAGAGCTGAGATTGAATCAGTCTACTAAATCTTTCTTTCGATAATGTTGACTGGAAAATTTTTCCAAACTTGACTGTCACGACGATTATTTTGAGTGGCTTACGTTTCTATCAATATTCTATTCTGAAACAGGCAATGAGGTCTCAAAAGTTGAAAATAAATTACTAGACTCTTTTCAGTTGTGCAGTATGGATTTATACTCATTTAGAGCAATATAAAGGACAAACAAGAAAAAGAAAACCTGCAATTTCCCATAAACGGAGTGACTTACAAGTGAAAATACTATGGTAATTGTTTTCTATAAAATAGAAATTTTTATATTAAAAGTTTTCGGATAACAAAAAATCACAAATTGATGGACTTTCAAGTCTATTGAAACTAAATCTAATCATTCTAACGGGTGGCCCAAAATAAAATGGTCACTTTTGTCCTGTGTTTTTTAGGCATTTTCCAGTGGTCCAAGAAGTTGGTTTTAGGCTCATTCAATAGAGACTTTTCTACTCTATAAAACCCATCATTTTCTTTAATTACATATTATTTCATTATTTTGAAAAATGTTGTACAATAAGCACAGGTAAAAATTGAAACTGCGATTTCGCATCAAAATTTTGGTGACCTTTCGGTTTTTGTGTAGCTTTTCAAGAAATGATGTTGTGATTGAGAGAAGGTACTATAAAATGTTCAACGAATTGACTGCTATCATCCAGATTACGCTGATTCTGCGTTTCGTCATCCAAATTGTGAAATCTTCGGAGCACAAGTTCATTAACGCTTTCGAGCAACATGAGATTTTGAAAAAAACAGTGAAAGTACTATCTAAACGACGCAGTATAAGTGTGCGATATAGAGGGTTTTGTAGAGCAGAAAATTTTCTACCTTCTGCAGTCAGAACGAAATCTTCGAGCCCTACTGGATATGGACAAAAATAAGTATATGAATGAAATTCATCATTTTAGGACCATTCGCTGTTAGTGACAAATTGTTAGGACAAATTTTATTTCTCAATGCAGATTAATCACATGAAGATGAATACTTTACGCAATGTACCTATGGTGAATAGGTAACAGAAGCATTATTAAATAATCAATTAGGTTGGGCACAAAAGAAATTATAACCTGTCACTCCCGTCACAGTTTCAATTTTTATCTGTGCTTAGTGTGCACCATTTTTTAAAATAATGAAATAATATGTAATTAAAGAAAATGATGGGTTTTGCAGAGCAGAAAATTCTCTATTGAATGAGCCTAGAACCAACTCCTTGGACCACTGGAAACTGCCTAAAAAACAGAGGACAAAAGTGGCCATTTTATTTTGGGCCACCCGTTATATGTAGAGTGTTCAGAAAGTCACCAAACATGGATCAAAGCGAAAGTTGCTGCTACGTTTTGATTGAAATGCGGTATTTTTTTTTCATTATTGATAGATGTATGTTTCTAGCTTACATTCATTAATCAAATGTTTAAAAACCTACTGCTCTAAGTTATTATAGTAGACTTCTGTAAATATATATGATATTTCCGAGCCATGGCAAAACAAATGATTTAATTACTTAGTTAACAATATTAAAGGCTAGCGACATCTTTTGAAGAAAACGAAATCACCAAACAAATCAAATAAGAGTACCGTACTATGGATGATGCCAAGGATTGAAGTTCGAAACCAAAAATAATCTAATTGGCTTGATATTTTGTTTTACAACTTTCGAATGATCTAGTTTTGATTGGGTAAAGCTATTTTATTTACCTTATTCAATTACTTTCAGTTGGCATATAGTGTTACGAACTAATGTTTGTTGTTCTTTCTTTCTTTCTCTTGAGGTATTTCTATAGAAAGTGTTCCACTGATAAGATTTTAGTTGAAGATTCTCCTCATGAAAAATGCTCCACCGTGTGACAATATAGTATCGTGTAGTGGAACACTTTTGATGAGTATGGAACACCAGCTATAATGTTACCGTATATTCCCTGTGAAACACCTGCTATAGGAATACCCCTTTTGATGCTGATCTACTGTTGGAGAAATATGCCATCCATTAAGTTTTTGAATGCCACATGTTGTTTTTGTTTAGCACTACAACAACCTGCTAGCTTTATTAACATTCTGTAAAGCAAGCAATAGTTTTTGTCGACAGCTGATAGTGTTTGAGTCGCAAAATATATCGATTGTTCGGACTTGGAAAGGAAGCATAGGAACTGTTCTTGTCCCAGTTAATATATGTTTAAAATAGCAACAGATTTCACGTTGTGTGCCTCGTAACTTTTTTTTCGTCATATACTATATAGTTCAATAGATAGTATCGCATGCAGGAAGTATATATGAAAAAGAAAAGAAATACACATAGGGATACAATGATAGAAAACATGAAGAAACAGAAGAAGGATGTTCAAAACGAATCAATATTAAAAGATGAGAAGAAGAAGAATATCCTTGCCTTTCAGCTACCTTTCGGTATTGGGTGCTATTCAAGGACAGTTTCGAAAGTTCGATGTTTTTCCTACAACTATTACTAGCTGCAGCTCTGGACAGAAGGCCAGCCCAACTCAGAGTTTCTTCCGCTTAATAACTTAAGCTCCTAAAACATACTGAGGAACCACATACTAGCCACAAGGGCTTTTTGTGTATGTCACACGTAGTAAGCGTGCTATTGGATGGGTGGTCCGAGACAAACAGCCGTTAGTAACTTGTTCAAGATCATTCTACGTCTGACGGCGCCGAAGTTTGAACACACTATCTTGTGGATATGTGTCGAAAATCTTAACCATTCAACCATAGCGGTCTTAAGAGATGAGTCTGCATTTTTTTTCTTCAACAGAGGTATCGATATTTTTTTCGGCTATTATTTTGCAATAATTTTGTTCAACTAAAACATCTTTAAAAGATAAAAAAGATCTATTTTATTTTTCAGTTTCTTTGACAAAAAATCATTTTCATACAATATTCAAAAAAGTTTGGTGATACTTCTAATGTTGTAGGTGAATAAACTAGCGATGATGGATCAACATCATACCTTTTACAGCGTAAAATTAATCGAGATCTTCAAGAATTAAGTTGTAAGTCCTGAAAAACTCATTACGCTTATATAATAGATACGATTTATAAAAGCAAAAATCTTTCATGACTGATAAAAATCCTGCTCTGATGATGACTCTTTTCAAAAACTAAACTATCGTCAAATACAACTTATCATATCTTTTTTAAGAAGTTCCTGCTACTGAAGACAACTAAGTTTGTGATGATTATTCATAAATGACATTCTTTATACATGAGAATCATTCTACTACAAATAAAAATTAAAGATTGCTTTAGGTTGAGAATAATTTTATAATCGTTAGTTTTTCACGAAGCAAAAAAAGAATTTGAATTCTATTTTATAATTTGTTCGAGAAAAACTTCATACAATTCGGTATTTTGAGAAAAAAATTTAGTAAACTATAAATGCATTCTTGCTGTTCCATCATATAACTGATAAAAATAATTAAAAATTTAAATTTTTAGAAATCAATGCATCTAAATTGATTTAGATTTGTTTAAACTACTTCAAAAGTTGTTCACATCAAAAGTAAGCAATCAAATCGATCAGAAGAATAAGAATTTTGAACGAGTTTTATTATTTACTTTCACATGTTGAATATCACTTCAAAAACATTTTAATAGAATTCTTTTTTATGAGTTACGTTTATTACAAAAGTTGCATTTTCTTTTTTTGTTCTTTTTTCCACACTGGGAAGATAAATGTTACTTATAAATCACATGGTTACTTTTAACTTGTTTTTTTATTGATTCTACATCATATTATTCATAGATGTTATTTCAATGATGGCAGTCAATTATTTAAACGAAATTATTTCAATATTTCTTCAAAGAAATGTAAATGAACTCAGCGATAATGATTTAAGTACTGCCATCAGAGCTCAAGGCAAAACTTGTTCAACTGAAGAGATACGTCGCGTTGTACATTCATTAAGTTCATCTATGTTTCACTTATACCATAACCACGAGAACATATTTCTTGTTCGAATTGAACTTAGAGTGAGCTCATTTTACCTAATTTTGTTTTTGTTATGATTTTATCATATATCTTAGATTAATATATGTAAAGATTTTCTCGCTGGTAAATGTAATTTCAAAACACGAGGATGCAATCAACTTCATCTATGTCGTTATTTTGGTCATTGTCATAAAAAAGATTGTCACTTTCCACATGATTTTACTCATGGAAATAATCGACGTATTCTTGAACAATCGAACTGTCTAAATGTCAATCCAATACTACTCGTTCGTCTCATTCGACTTAATGAACGACTGTCTCGTCGTTTATCTAATGTAATATTTTCTATTCTATACTGTCAAAAATATACTTTTTGATGTAGACTTCGACTACTTCTCCTGTTGTTTCAAAAACACCAGATATGACATCATCATCATCAGTACAGCCGAAACCTATTGCAAAAGTGTTTGAGAGAAGCAAACGTACTCATTCAAGACGAAGATGTCGAGATGGCATGTCTAATAGAGTTGCTGGTGAAAATAATATTCCTCGGCCGACATTTCTATCATCAGAATTAGACACAAATTCTCAAATTGATATATGTTTTTCATCAACATCAATTGCTCGTCGTATTACCATCGAGGAAATCGTAGAATTCTTAAAACTACAAGGTCTAACTGTCCAAAACGTACTTAATTCGAAGGAAAATGAACATTTTCATCAATGCACACTTCAATTCCAAGAGAAAAACGGTAAGCAATTATTAATCGGTTCATCTAATATTTCTTTTTATAGTTGTAGATAATATTTTAGCACAACCTAGTATTCTATATCAAGGTATCCATTTAAAATTTAAAAGAACGAACCCATTAATCGATCAAAAAAGTTTCGTACTTCAATCAAGAATCGATTCTAAACGAGGTCCAATTACAAAAGAGAAGTTTTCGCTTTATACTGATTTATTAATTAATCACTGTCCATTCAAATTCACCGATCTTTCATCGGCACAGCAACAGATTCTACTAATTCAATGTGATAATACTATTGGTATGAGTTCTCTTGAAGCATTTTAGCATTCGATTTAAATAGCAATACATTCTTTCTAGATTTTAACCAGGCTCGTCGTGTACAGAAGTCAAGAAGACAATTACAAGGAACAGATATCTCACTGAAACAAGTATATGAATTAGATAAGGCTATTGTTGAATCAATTCATAATCGACTGTCGATTGAAATTATTGAAAATATTATTGAATCATTTCTTCATGATGTCTTTACATTTACTGTTCAATCAAGTCAAACAGTACTTATCGAATTTATCAATGCTGATAGTTTGAAAAAGTGGCTATTACTTACCGATATAACACAACAAAAATTCGGCGTTAATATCAAACTTGATGTTAAATGTGTTGATGAAGATGATTATGTCGATGACAATAGCGCTGCTTCTTGCTCGTCAAGTGATAAATTATTGCCAAAATCAAACGAACGCAGTATACTTTCACAAGTGACAGTTTATCTTCGTCGAGGTTGGGCAATGGTTGTTAATCATCCAACGTTCAGTATTGAATACAAGAATTACATACGTAAGTCAATTAACAGAAATCTTCATACCACACCAATACATATAGATTCGCTCTGATAGAAATACTATTTTCGATCTGCAAACAAGAAAAAATTGTAAGCATGAATATAATGATTGTATCCGGTAGTTCGATGTATGTTCAACTTCGGTCGATATCTGAAAAATTTGGCTACTCCGTCAGGACATTGCATTTTTGCTGTTTTTTCAGTGTTTTCTAGCTGCCACTAGCCAAACACCATTCACTTAAGTTCCAACATCGATCGATTTTTGGCACTTTTGCCGATTTATGATAATTTTACTGGGTGATTCAGACCAGTTTGAGAAAAATCTGCTTGTTTTCAGAGACTGGAGTGATTGATCTGCATCTCAGCCCATGTAATTATCGATGCTAGATATATGTTTAACATAAATATAATGCCAATGACGGGTCGAGTTTTAGATGCTGACATTGAAAGTGGAATGAAATCCACATATGTAATAGCTAGTTACATGAATTCGATCTGATCATGTCTTATTATGAGGATACTAAGCAGCAGTTTAAAATTGAACTTAAATATAAATTATTGGGGTTCCAATCAGTGATGTTCTGCCTCAGTAAATTACAATCTCAATATAATTTTCCTTCAAACTTTCTACAGGGTGGTTCAAAACCTTTACGCCCCCCTGGTTCGATCTCAAGGTCAAATGATTTCATTAAGTATTTTATACCAAATTAAAGCCCGTAAAAAACTGCATTTATTGATACTAAATGGTAAAGGTTATGAAGACCTATTAATGTCAAACTTCCGAGATTTTCAGAAATTTGACACCTTTTTTGATGTAGAAAAGTAAGGTGCCNGACCGTTTCATCGGTTGATCGGTGTAACCGGGGATCGTTTCACCGGTTGATCAGTGTAATCGGGGATCGTTTCACCGGTTGATCGGTGTAACCGGGCATCGTTTCACCGGTTGATCGGTCCAACCGGGGACCGTTTCATCGGTTGATCGGTGTAACCGGGGATCGTTTCACCGGTTGATCAGTGTAATCGGGGATCGTTTCACCGGTTGATCGGTGTAACCGGGCATCGTTTCACCGGTTGATCGGTCCAACCGGGGACCGTTTCATCGGTTGATCGGTGTAACCGGGGATCGTTTCACCGGTTGATCAGTGTAATCGGGGATCGTTTCACCGGTTGATCGGTGTAACCGGGCATCGTTTCACCGGTTGATCGGTCCAACCGGGGACCGTTTCATCGGTTGATCGGTGTAACCGGGGATCGTTTCACCGGTTGATCGTTTCACCGCTCTTCGGTAACTACGATAGAACGGTGAACGATTAATCGTCACCGTGTCACCCCTAGTTCATTTAATAAATCTTATTTACTAATAATTTATATCTTCAAGTATTTTATGGAACACATTATATGATTCTTGTGAACAAAGTAGTTAATAAATAAAATAAATAAATACTTTCCATAGACTTATCGCCTATTGGAGTTAACCTATATTAGCATTGACGTGCGGCTAAATTCTTTCATATTCCTCTTTTATGATGTACATAGGTGATGGACGTGGATTTGTTAGAGAAGATGCTATATTTACCGTTCATCCACACCCTTTAGTTTTGTATACGCTGCAATTAGGATTAACTTGCGAGAAAAGATAAATTGGGCACTAACATCCATCCCTGGATTCAGAAAACGTCTATCTAGTATTTCTTATTCAAATAAATGTTGTATTAATATTATAATTAGAAGTCAGGTTCTTTATTTCAAGTTTTGAATAAGTATATACAAGTATATTTATAAAAGGATGAGTAATACACTGAAAAAAATTAATGAATATATTCTTCGTAGTTCAAAGAAATGAATTTAGATGTCTCTGTGATAAGCGCACATAGACCATAACAAAAAATTTAGAAAAATTACGTCAATAACTATTCATAATGAATCTGAAAAAACATGTAATCACTAGAATAGCGCACTTGAAGAGCATGACAAACGATAATAATAAATTGTTAATGAGTACGATCATTAAAATCCGAAATAATTCATTAGAATGTCAAGTTAAAAGTAAAATAATGAATACTAATATTGCAATACAAAAAAGAAACATTTTATGCATGAAGGCACATTAATGAGTTCTAGTCTCAGAAATTTTATGAACCTGTCATAATCTGAATAAATATATGCGACAATATAAAAGAAAAAGAAATCATAGCAAATACAAGTACGAGAATACTTGATAAAACAGGCAAAAATAGAAAGTCCAAAGAATAATTTCCTAAGATGTAGCCAAATATGCAATGAATATCATACTTAAATCAAAAGTTTAATTATCCAATGATCAACTGGAAAGTTTTATCAAAACTCCTTAAGTTTCATCATACAGTCAAAATGAAGAAATATTATTGATTTAATAGTGAGAACGCTACATATATTTAACTTGTATACCATCAATACCTTTATAAAATGATGGAAAAAACTGTAATCGTCATATCTGCAGACAAAAGAAAAAAACAAATAATAATGAACAAACTAGATTATCTAGAACAGATCAAAGAAAAACTTAAAGATACCAATGTTGATGAAGAAATAGACAATCCAATCAAACTAATCAAAACTAAAATAAAACTACTGTCTTATAAATTACTTACATTAAATGGAATTATTCTAAATATAAAAAATGAATTTTTATCAATCGATGATTTGTCAGGAATAACAATGCAACCTAAAGTATATCAAGTAGATTGATTGCGATTAGTCAATGTAGATGTGAGTGTTTTTGATGTGATGTACCTATTTACATATAACTGCTGCTGTACGTGTTGAGTGTTGACGGTGGATGCCACTATGGATAAAAATAATACAGAGATCAACATCTACCAATCCATACCCACATCCACATGACCATCTCTGATCCAAGATTCAATCTTCCAGAAATCACATTCCTTTTTTATTTTTTACCTTAGACCATTTTTTTCCCAAAAACTTCGATTCAACCTCTCATTCTCTCCTATAAACGATGTGCTGCTTTGTGGAAAAATTAGAAATCTTTTATATTTATTGTCTGTTCGTGCTTTTTTGATTTTGCATGCTAGAATCATTGAAGAAGCCTCATTATAACCAAAGATGTTTTTTTTTGCCTGTTTACAAGAGTATGATAATATGTCGAACACGACAGAGTCTTTTTTTTTTGTGAATAATACTTAACTACTATTATATAGAGTAGTGCTTTGATAATTATAGTATTATTCATTCACAGTTCTTCAGCATGTTTAGTTTACCATTGTTAAATTTTCTATAGAATCTAAATTTTACAAAACATGAATTTTTTCGTGCGATGCATGCATATTGATATGTTCTTTTAAACATCAGGAAAAAGAAACAGAGAGAGGATGAAGGTGTATAGAAAATCTCACACTACCAACAACGTAATAGTGTAGAATGATAATTTTAACATAGCATTTTCATTGTAGCTTCAATTTATTCTAAGATTTTCATGTGGTTCGAATTTTAGTGGTTCAAGATCATTTTAACAAGATCGGTAGTTATAACAATGCAGGTTAATTATTTGATGCTATAGTTTGAAGCTACTCTTCGTAAATTGACTTGAATTCTAGTTTCAGAACATCTATTCTGTGTGAACACTGATGTTACATAGATTCGAGACTTTTTTTCTTCTATTTGAATACTATTTTATGTCAAATAAATAACGTTTTTTTGTTGACTAGTTTCGAATGTATTTCCTCTCAAAACGCATTTGTCAAATAATACAGTAATAGTTTTTATGTATTTTCATGAGAAATTATTAGACATGAAATTTGACCCTTTCATATTATCAAGAGACATTTTTGCTGAACATTATACTTAGTCATATTTTTTAAACTTGATTAAAATTTATCCGTAGTAATGGTATACTCGACAATCAGCGTATTTATTCGTCGACAATGATTGAGTATAAGTAGACCATATCGTCGTGCTGACAGACAGATAGTTGAAACTTATGTTCAAGAAGAATTTTCTGAGTAGCTGAATTATCTTTTGAAGAAAGTTTATATTCAATTTTCAATTGTATTTTCTCAAATCAAGGTTGAAAAACGATCAAGTGTGTTGTCCTTACGACTTATTCTCGAAAGAAATACTTTTTAGTAAGGTATTCTCATCTAGTTCATTTGACATGGCTATTTAAACAACAGTAGAGTTATTAGAAGAAAAAAGTTAGTGTTTGAGGAATTTCATAGCTATTTAGAGACTTCCGTATGAATTTATTTAACCTGACTGATTTTTTTTTGAGCAGGTGATTGCGAAGATGAAATCAAAGGTCAATGATTTGAACAACGATTTGTTTCAGAGTCGCATCTGGTTATTAATCTTCATGTTTTTATACAGATTTAAAATAGTCAGTCAAACAAAGCAGCAAGCATGAGTACGACATGTGTTGGGAACTCATAAGCTATTTAAATAGTTTTTACAGTACGTGAAGTTTTTAAAAGATCTATTTACTCTGTTAAATACCCATGAATCATTATGCAAATAGAAGTTCGTTTCGTAGAAAACGTGTAACTGCAGAGAGGCTAAAAGTTAGTCGTTCGTTTAACAACTTAAACGTGCGAAATAGCCTGCCTTTTTTTTTTTGTATCTGTGATTATTTTCACTCATGAATTGCTTCTATTTATAAGATAGACCGCGCATTCTACGTACTGGTTCGTAAACTGACAGACTCAAAATGGTTAATTTCGGTTTTATCATGTTTTTTATTTCAATAGCTGTTCTCATACTCAGCGTTATCTTATGTGTTATTTATGCTCTTTTAATTCTTCTTAACAGGCGACTTCATAATCGTTTTAATATATTTACATTCAATATGTCTTTATCAATCATTTGCGCTGGTCTCTATTGGATTATTTTCTATCTTTTAGCAGGGTATCATGGCTTTGATACGACCAACGCAGTCGGTTGTGCTATTTTAAATTACACGGAACTATTGTTCAATTGTCAATTATCATTATCTATGGTCACCGTTTCAATCAATCGATGCTGCTGCATAATATTTGTGTCTAAAGCATTTTTTAAAAC